ACACCCCCGGCCTCCTCTGCCTCCCTACACCCCAGCCTCCTGCCTCCCTACACCCCCCGGCCCTCCTACTGCCTCCCTACACCCCCGGCCCCTCCCTACTGCCTCCCCTACACCCCAGCCACTCCCTACTGCCTCCCCACCCCCGGCCCTCCCCTACTGCCTCCCCACCCCCGGCCCTCCCCTACTGCCTCCCCTACCCCAGCCCTCCCTACCTCCCCACGACACCTCCCTACTGCTCCCCTACTGGCCCCAGCTGCCTCCTACACCCCCGGCCTCCCTGCCTCCCCTACACCCCCGGCCCTCCCCTGCCTGCCTCCCTACACCCCTTCCAGCCCTCCCTACTGCCTCCCTACACCCCGGCCCCTCCCTACTGCCTCCCCTACACCCCCGGCCCTCCCTGCCTCCCTACACCCCCGGCCCTCCCCTGCCTCCCTACACCCCCCGGCCCTCCCCTACTGCCTCCCCTACACCCCCCAGCCCCTCCCTGCCTCCCCACCCCCGGCCCTCCCTCTCTGCCTCCCCCACCCCCCAGCCCTCCCTGCCTCCCTACACCCCCCGGCCCCTCCCCTGCCCTCCCCACCCCTGGCCCCTCCTACTGCCTCCCTACACCCCCAGCCCTCCCCTACCTCCCCTACACCCCCAGCCCTCCTCTGCCTCCCCTGCCCCCCAGCCCTCCCCTACTGCCCCTCCCCTACACCCCGGCCCTCCCCTGCTGCCTCCCTAACACCCCCCGGCCCCTCCCTGTCCCCTACCCCCGGCCTCCCCTACTGCCTCCCCTACACCCCCAGCCTCCCTGCCTCCCTACACCCCGGCCTCCCTACTGCCTCCCTACACCCCCGGCCCTCCCTACTGCCTCCCTACACCCCCGGCCCTCCCTACTGCCTCCCTACACCCCCGGCCCTCCCTACTGCCTCCCTACACCCCCGGCCGGCCAGAGTGCGTCATTACTGTACACTCTAGGATAGCTTATTATATTATCTTGGTTGCCTTCTGTAAACAAACACTGGCCTCCAAACATCATGGCTTCCAAACAGCATGGCCTCCAAACATCGTGGCCTCCAAAAAGCATGGCCTCCAAACATCGTGGCCTCCAAACATCGTGGCCTCCAAACAGCGTGGCCTCCAAATACATATATCATGGCCTCCAAATACACACCATGGCCTCCAAACACCTATGCTACGGGCTCTAAACATACACCGTGGCCTCCAAACATGCACCATGGCCTCCAAACATACACCATGGCCTCCAAACACACACCATGGCCTCTAAACATACATCATGGCCTCCTCCAAACACACACACACACACCAGATGATTCACTTTATCGCCTCTAAACAGGAAAATGATCGACCACGGGCTGCCTCGGCCATCAAGCGAGCCACAACAGGAACCAACCACACGAGTCATTATATGCCAGTGACATCAAGTTGACGAGCCATGACATGACACTCAGACATGTAAACGACCGAGGAGGAACGATATGAGCATGATATGACCCCCCCATAACACACAGGCACGGGGTTTTAGACATGACTTACACTCAAACATGACTTATAAACAGATGGCTCACTGACATGACTTATAAACAGATGGCTCACTGACATGACTAATAAACAGACGGCTCACTGACATGACTAATAAACAGACGGCTCACTGACATGACTTACAAACAGATGGCTCACTGACATGACTTGTAAACAGATGGCTCACTGACATGACTAATAAACAGACGGCTCACTGACATGACTTACAAACAGATGGCTCACTGACATGACTTGTAAACAGATGGCTCACTGACATGACTTATAAACAGATGGCTCACTGACATGATTTATAAACAGATGGCTCACTGACCTGACTATAAACAGATGGCTCACTGACATGACTTATAAACAGACGGCTCACTGACATGACTAATAAACAGACGGACTGACATGACTAATAAACAGATGGCTCCGACATGACTAATAAACAGACGGACAGACTGACTCACTGACATGACTAATAAACAGACGGCTCACTGACATGACTAATAAACAGACGGCTCACTGACATGACTAATAAACAGACGGCTCACTGACATGACTTATAAACAGATGGCTCACTGACAGACATGACTTACACACAGACAGGTGTAGACTCATGAGCACTTACCCTTCATGCAGTACACCAGGAGTCATCCACCTACACCCTCATACACCCACCTACACCCACTTACACCCACTTACACTTACTTACACCCACACTACACCCTTTTACACCCCACTACACCCATTTACACCCACACTACACCCTTTTACACCCCACTACACCCATTTACACCCACACTACACCCTTTTACACCCCACTACACCCATTTACACCCACACTACACCCTTTTACACCCACACTCCACCTACTTACACCCTCATGGTCCCGGAAGCAGAAGAAAGACCATTATTTAGTGGTCCTTATAAGACGTGGTTATAGCCCAAGGAAATCTAACCAAACCTGACCTGACCTGACCTGACCCCTCCAGGTGGCGTTAAGGTATTTAAACGACAGGTAAAATAAGCTGGGGTGTCTAATCCTCAGGTAATTATCTCAATGTATTCTCAACCAGCTGAATCCTTACATCAGAGGAGGAAAACTAAGTGACAGACAGACAGACAGACAGACAGACAGACAGACAGACAGACAGACAGACAGACAGACAGGCAGACAGACAGACAGAGACTATTATAATTTTTTGGTGTGATTTGAAATATTTGTTTGGTGAAAATTGGTGTTATTCTTGTTGTTTACTTGTGAGTGTGTCATGTCAGTTTTGGAATGTCATAAGTCACTAGTCATGTCAATTTGCAAGGTTGTGAGTCACTGTCATGTTAGTTGTGATTCTGTGGATCCGTGACACGTTATCTTATTATGACCTTAGTTATTGTCATGTTAATTTGTGATAATTTGGATCTGTCATGTCATAATTTAGTGTATAATGACATGTCATCTTGTATTGCGTATCAGTCTCATGTTAGTTTGAATTAATGCGAATATTTTTCATATTATTTTATGATAAAGTGGATTTTGTCATGTCAGTTTATGATGTGAGTGTCATGTCAGTTAGTAATGCGGTGTGTCAGCCTCGTGTCAGTCATGTCAGCTTAAATTGTCAGTCAATGTCATGTCACCAGTGTGGGGATGATCCAGTCAGTCAGTCAACAGTGTGGGGATGGTCCAGTCAGTCAGTCACCAGTGTGGGGATGGTCCAGTCAGTCAGTCACCAGTGTGGGGATGGTCCAGTCAGTCAGTCACCAGTGTGGGGATGATCCAGTCAGTCAGTCTGCAGTGTGGGGATGGTCCAGTCAGTCAGTCACCAGTGTGGGGATGGTCCGGTCAGTCCAGTCACCGGTGGCCAGGGTTGGATGATCAGTCAGTCAACAGTGTGGGGATGGTCCAGTCAGTCAGTCAACAGTGTGGGGATGGTCAGTCAGTCAGTCAACAGTGTGGGGATGGTCCAGTCAGTCAACAGTGTGGGGATGGTCAGTCAGTCAGTCCAGCAGTGTGGGGATGGTCCAGTCTGTCAGTCAACAGTGTGGGGATGGTCCAGTCAGTCAGTCCAACAGTGTGGGGGATGGTTCCCATTCAGTCAGTCAACAGTGTGGGGATGGTCGATCAGTCAGTCAACAGTGTGGGGATGGTCCAGTCAGTCAGCCCAGTGTGGGGATGGTCAGTCAGTCCAGTCAACGGTGTGAGGATGGTCAGTCTGTCAGTCAACAGTGTGGGGATGGTCAGTCAGTCAGTCCAACAGTGTGGGGATGGTCCAGTCAGTCAGTCAACAGTGTGGGGATGGTCAGTCCAGTCCAGTCAACAGTGTGGGGATGTTTCAGTCAGTCAGTCAACGGTGTGGGATGGTCCACTCAGTCAGTCAGCAGTGTGGGGATGTTCCAGTCAGTCCAGTCCAACAGTGTGGGGATGGCCCAGTCAGTCGGTGGCTTGGTGTGGGGATGGTCCAGTCAGTCAGTCAACAGTGTGGGAATGGTCCAGTCAGTCAGTCAACAGTGTGGGGATGGTCCAGTCGGTCAGTCAACAGTGTGGGATGGTCCAGTCAGTCAGTCAACAGTGTGGGGATGGCCCAGTCAGTCAGTCAACAGTGTGGGGATGGTCCAGTCAGTCAGTCAACAGTGTGGGGATGGCCCAGTCAGTCAGTCAACAGTGTGGGGATGGTCCAGTCAGTCAGTCAACAGTGTGGGGATGGTCCAGTCAGTCAGTCAACAGTGTGGGGATGGTCCAGTCAGTAATTAAATTCACCAAGAGCTAATTGATTCATCACACCTGGGCAGCCGGGAATATCACCTCATGTATAATTATGGACGAGACTGTACAGTAGGCTACAGTACAGTACAGTAAAGTTTGTTGATACAGAACCGCGTGCTGGAGGTGTGTGTGTGTGTGGCTCACTGGTGGACGCAGCTCCGCGCCCTCACGCCAGACGCAGCTGCCCGCCACAGCTACAATAAACAGATGCAGGACACAGGTGCAACGTGTTCACCAGAGGTTGATATTGTAGTGTCCGCTGGTGTGATACCTTTAGCGCCATTTGACTCACTAGTGACAGGGAGCTGTCGCCGCGAGGCCCCACAGTCGCGCATGTCCTCAGATGATCATGTGAAGCCCCGCCCATGTCTCCTCCCCCACGGGAAGCCCTCCTTCCCCCCGCCACTCAGTCCGGGGAAGGCGGAGTCTCTAAGTTTGTTTGGGGGATGGTTTGAGTCCTGGGGAGGCTGACAGATTCTACAAAATATGACATTCGACAAAAATGTTTTAATATATCGTACAGAGAGCCACACTTCATATCATTTACCTAATACTGCAGCTTAAGCTTGTATGCTGAGCCTAGGTAACGCCCCGCCCCTTAACTTGGCCCTTCCCCCCGACGGCCGGCGCTCCTCCCCCTAGCAGCGTGAGTGCGGCGCGGCGGGTGGCTGTGCTGAACCTGGCCGGGGGCGTTCAGAGCAGTGGGAACCCTGGCTGCGTGCGGTGGTCCTGCTCTTCAACACCGCTAGTGTCGGCCAGTGTCGCGCCGCGGACGGACACTAGAACCCCCACCCACTGTCGCCCCGAGATCTGGCGGACATGTGCTCTACTGTGGCAACCTGTGTTACGGAAATAGTGACGACAGAAAGTGTGAATACCTGGTGACGTTTGTGTGTGTCAGACTAGTGTGGTGTTGCAGCCAGAGCTCGCTGCTCGTGTACTTTACACACCGCTGCCGAGACTGATAAACAGTGACATAAATAAGCTGATAGTGGTGACGGCCAGTGTACTGTGGGGTGGCTGAGGCCGCCGTGAGTTGTACAGTGCCCATACTGAAGATGTTGAGGCGCTGCACGATGACCGCGTCAGCGCCCCCGGCAAGTGCTTGAGTGTCACCTCTTGAGGACGATGCCAAGCTCTGAAGGCGAGGTGACAGCGGCTCAGGTAGCGGAGGTGGAGCGGGTGGAGACCTCCACCAAACTGGAGGCAGAGAGGATGGCGCAGGTGGTACCGGAGGTGGTCATCGGGAAGTCACCTGCCAGGATCAACCCTAAAAGAAAACCTGACAAATCAAAAATATTCAGAATACGAACAAGTAAGTTACTATGAGTAGTGGCGACCGCCAACACCGCCTCAGTTAACAGTGAACAAGTTGTCTACACTATTGCCACTAAATCTTTCAAACTCCTTTATTTCCTTGTTACATCGTGCTGCTGTTACCATGTATATTTGATGCTTCGACTTGGCGGTAGTTGTGACCAGGGGTGAGGGGAGTGTGGTGTAAATATTGTAGTATGACACAGTGTGAGGTGCTCAGCAGGTGAGGGCCTTCCCACATGGCGTCGCAGGTACCCTCACACACACACACACTCATCATGAAAACATTTTAATACAGCTAAATATACGTTCATACATCATACACCGGTAATTATCATCGACACTGACGCGACAAATAAATAAATATTGAACAAGAGGAGAGAGAAGGTAGCCAGGCTTGGATAAAACACATTAAGGCAGCCCCCGACCCTCACACACTCGCCGCCACATAACTTGGCTTCCACCGTGCTGCTCCCCGCTACCTTCACCCCGGGCTAAAATAACAATTGACATCCTCTAAAAAATATTACAAGGAGTTGAGTACAACACCAAAGAGAGACACCGCTTGTGCCTCCTCCTCCTGCTTGTTACACTCTAGTTTATGTTGTTCGTGTACAGTAGTTGTTATTGTTTACAAGTACAGTAGTGTATTTATTATAACTCACTGCCGTGTCTGTCGGTAATGACACACCTGCACATGTTGTTGGTAAATAAATAATTAATTGTACAACTGAACTACTGTTTAAAATTTCCCCAGCGATGTTTTATTTTAATAACATTTTACAACAACAACATTTAATACAATAAACATTACAATATTTGGACTACTGTACAGAGGTGTTATAACTGACGGTGGTGTGGGCGGCCGTCATAAGGGCGTGGGTCCTCCGCCTACCCGGCGCCCTAATATTGATTATTTTAATATAATTTAGGGTGAACATCACCTCGGCGGGCGCTGGGTCGGGGCCCCAACCTTATCTTGTGATGGTAATGTGTGGCGGCCGGTGTGTGCCCTCACATACATACAGTTATATTATATACTATTTATATTTATTCATGTATATCCATATTGGTCAGAATGTTACATGTGGCGGCCTGTGTGTATGTATGTATGTGTGTATATGTGCGTGTGTGTATCAGGTATGAATAAAACATACAGTACAGGCGGGATTTAATTTGACAAATCTCATCCATCCATAAGGGGAACATGACCTCGGGTATTAACACTCAAACAACATTCACATTTTAATCAACTTGACCTCATTAATGTACAGACCAGGTTAATTACCCTAACCTTATTTTCTTCTTTCTATAATCGCATCTCTGAAAATTATCCCAAAACCAACAAAATTATCAGAGTTCAATATCCCAGTTGTTCTTACTAATACAACACCAACCTCGATAATCCGGTAATTACATCAACAGCACTCGTAATTATCACTGTTAATAATATCTCTCATGGTCAAAATTTCGTGATAATTGGTCTATGAATAATTTCCACTGTGGACTAAGCTGGGAGCCCCGCCAAGAAACTTCCAGGTGTTAAGTTGTCTCCTGATAATTCTTGAATAATTACAGTTTTGCTTTTTTAATTATTTTAAGCCATTTAACCTGTCTATAATTGTTTTGCTGTTTTCATCAATAATTAATTTTGTTTGGCAGTAATTTTTTGTGATAATTAATTTTGTATTTTTGATTCATTGGTTTATGGTAATTAGTTGGATTTTGTTAATAATTAATTGTGGTTTTCTTATAATAATTAATTGGGTTTTGTTAAGAGTTTTGGTTATGAATAAAATTGGTTTTATAAATAATTACGGTTTTTATAATAATAAATTTAGTTTTTGTTGTGGAATTATTTTCTAATTGTTTGATAAAATAAGTTTTAGGTTTTTATGGCCATAGAAAATTTAGTTTTTTCAGGTATTGATTAATTGTGATTTTAAATTATATTTGGTCAGGGTTTTTTTCATTTAATAATTAGTTTTTTTATTTAAATTTTTAATAATTAATGACAAGATAAAAATTTCCTTATGAATAATTTGATTTTTGCTGCTTAATAAAATTGAGTTTTGGTCGTGATTATTATTTGTCATTAATTAGCTTATAAGCTCACCAATGGTCTGGCCTTGTTCCTCAAAATTTGGTTTTTAATTGTCAATAATTAAGTTCATTATCAATAATTGGATTTTTCAATAATAAAAATTGGTTGTTTTAGGTTTTGATAAATTCTTTATTTATAGTTCAATTTTTCTTTTCAATTATTATTTGTTATCAAGATCAGTAACTGGGTTTTTCATGGTAAATAAATTGGGTTTTTATTGTAACTGATTAAATTTTAAGTCATTAGGTTTTGGGCCACCAATTTGAGGTTTGTGGTTTAGGGTTTACTTGGTTGATGACGTCAATAGGTTTATTTATAACAACCATATTCCTACGTTAAAAGTTCCTCTTAAGTTGGGAGCCAAGAGAACGGATCTGACTCCAACACAAAGATTCTGAAAACTCTTACGTTAAAAATTACCCTTAACTGGTATTTAATCTATTGAACTGACTATTTAACAATGACGGATAAGAATGTCGCTGAAATTACACTGAAACTCTACTGAAATTAGTTATATTTGGTCTTTATTTAGCGGGTAAAAATTATATTTTTTGTTTTAAATTGTAAAAAATAATCTCATGAAAATTTAATTATCTTATAAAATGTATATTGACCAATGGGAATTATATAGTGAAATTTTGACCAATGGGAGTTGATCTTGTGGATTTTGACCAATGGGAGACGAGCGGGTGGATTTCGACTAATCGGAGATGATCTGACACCTTTTGAATTGTTGGCTTGAAATGTTGCTCACTGATTTGCCCCTGCTGACACCATTTTTTGCCCCTGCTGACACCACTTTTGCCCCTGCTGACACCACTTTTGCCCCTGCTGACACGACCTTTGCCCCTGCTGACACGACCTTTGCCCCTGCTGACACGACCCTTGAACCCGACACACGACCGATCTGTTCTTAGCAGTCCATTACCTCCGGCCACCCACTGATCATCCTTGTATGGCCGCCCACGCCACCCCTTGTGTTGTCACCCACACCACCCCCTTGTGTTGCTATCCATGTTATCCATTGTGTTGCCACCCACGCCACCCCTTGTGTTGCCACCCATGTTATCCTTTTTGCCGCCCATTATATTCTTTGCGTTCTGCCCGCTTTCACCCTTTGTGTTGCCCCCACCACCCCTTGTGTTGCCACCACACCATCCCTTGTGTTGCCACCACGCCACCCCTCGTGTTGCCACCAAAGATTACCGTGCCTTGCCGCCACATCATATCTTGCTTGGCCACCCACACCATCAACCACATCTACCACCACCCACTGTCACCGCCCACTCACAACTAACGCCATCGCACCACCGCCATCCTCCCGCCCACTTCACCGCCCACATCACCATCCATTCTCCCGCCACACCACCGCCCAGCCTCCCACCAACACCACCACCCATCCTCCCGCCCACACCACCGCTCATCTCCCGCCCACACCACCGCCCATCCTCCCCCAACACCACCTGCCCAGCCTCCCGCCAACACCACCGCCCATCCTCCCATAACACCACCGCCCAGCCTCCCGCACAACACACCACCCGCCCAGCCTCCTCCCACAACACAGCCATCCTCACGCCTACACACACCCCAGCCTCCCCCTTCCACAACCGCCCATCCTCCGCCCACACAACCGCCCATCCTCCTGCCAACACTACCGCCCAGCCTCCGCTCAACCACCGCCCATCCTCCCGCCCACACCACCCCCCACAGAATCGGCACCGCCCATAATCCCCCATATTATAATTTGCATCACCACCCACACCACCCATGCTCCCGCCCACAGAACCGGCACCATCAGGATTATTCATCCAACCGGTCAGCTGGACAGCCCACAGCCGGCAGGGAGGGAGGGGGAACATCAAACAGGCCGGGCGCCGGAAAGACCCCCACAGCCGGGTCTGTTGGGGCAGCTTAACAGGTCCTTAGTCCTGGCAGAGTGAGGGAGGAGGAGGAGACACGGGGAGGAGGAGCGGGGAGGAGGAAGAGGAACGGGGAGGAGGAGCGGGGAGGAGGAGGAGAAACGGGGAGGAGGAAGGAGGAAGAGGCGTAGGGAGGATGGTGCGCAGGGAGGAAGAAGCCTATTAGAGAGGAGGAGGAGGAAGAGGCGGCGAAGTGGAGGAGGAGGAAGAGAAGGGTTGTAGCTGGAGGAAGAAAGGAGGGAGAGAGAGGTGAAGAGGAGGAGGACAGGGAAAAGAGACGTGTGAATGGAGGGGAGGAGGGTAGAAAGGGAGCAAGAGGAGGAGGAAGAGCCCACCCTCCCTGATTTGTTGTCTTTCAATCCATGTTGGTCCTGAGAAAATTATGGACGGGATGATTCACCCCGAGGCTCTCTCTCTCTCTCTCTCTCTCTCTCTGAGGACGGTAATACCAACATTAGAATCATGTGTAAAATTAGTCTGAAACGAGAGAGTGTGTGTGTGAGAGAGAGAGAGAGAGAGAGAGAGAGAGAGAGAGAGAGAGAGAGTGTGAGAGAGTGTGTGTGAGAGAAGTGTGTGTGTGAGAGAGAGAGAGTGTGTGTGTGAGAGAGAGAGAGAGAGAGAGTGTGTGTGTGAGAGAGAGAGGTGTGTGTGTGTCTGCAGAGAGAGAGAGAGAGAGAGAGAGAGTGTGTGTCTGCGAGAGAGAGTGTGTGTGTGTGTCTGCGAGAGAGAGAGAGAGAGAGAGAGAGTGTGTGTCGAGAGAGAGAGAGTGTGTCTGTGTGTCTGCGTGCGAGAGAGTGTGTGTCTGCGAGAGAGAGAGAGAGTGTGTCTGCGAGAGAGAGAGAGAGAGAGAGTGTGTGTGTCTGCGAGAGAGAGAGAGAGAGAGAGAGAGAGAGAGTGTGTGAGAGAGAAGAGAGCGAGAGGGGTGGGAGTTTATTGGAGATGCAGATATTACCGCATACAGTAAACTAGTGTATT